GGCACCGGTCGAAGAAGCATTTTTCTCACCTACTAAACGTGTGGCAACAAAAGGAGGAGACCCTTTGGACCTTCCTAGAACGCTGGAGGCAGGCGTCTATCGAAGTCGACGGCGCCGACGATAGGACACTGATGGCCCTATTCCACACTTTCCTCCGCAACGGTAATTTCTCCAGGAGCCTTATTACTGACCCTCCCCGCGATTATACAAAAGCTCTTCAGCGGGGGGATAGGTACGCGGAGGCCGAGGAGATCGAGAAGGACCGCCGCAATCCAGAGCCTTCACAAAGGCACGATGGCAGAAATCGTCCCGGAGAACCTCCCCTGTGACACCGCACCCAAACGTCCATGAAATTCAATTTAGAATTCAAAGTTTATGTATTGAACTTCCTAGTGACAAACGAGTGTAAAACGATTAATGATTTATGTAATGTATGTTTGATCATTTTACCGTTTGAGCTCGTATATCAGTGATGGGTTTTCAAATACTTATTTGGGCTAATAAATATAAGAGCCCAAAATTATCTAAATAATGATACATAAATTTTCTATACAAATTAAGGAAGGTCGGGCAGCCCAAACATTATTTTGGGCCCAACCTGCTAAAAAAGTAAGTATTCAAGAATGGCGTCCTAGGCCCACTTGAGGGTAACTCACACGGCTAGTAGCCCAGCAATATGAATACTAATGTCATAAATAGGTGATAGGATGATTAGAGAAGAATACAAATGCCTATGGTCCCATCTTTGATATTATTGAGCTAAATAATGGGAGTAGGTTTTTCTTCTATAATATTCATCATGTAAATTATTGGGATGATCCTACACATATTGGAGATCAATAATATGATATAGGGAGTTGACTTGGTCTATATAAATTACAATGAGTACAAAAAGACATTTCATGATAAAGATAAAACAATAGGACTCATCTTTCCATTTTTGGAAGTATTGGTGGATATTTTGGACCCCAAATCAATTGGGATCAATAGGGGTGCGTCCCATACTTATTGACACCTGCAAGACAAAGGAAAATAAGTGTTAGGAATAGGGATGGACGGATAAAAACGAAGGGGAGCTGCACAAGACATTAAGGACATCCAAAGAGGGGCCACCATGACTATTTTCGCACAAATTGGGTGTGCTGACTGTCTCCTCCCATAATGGGAGTTGTACTCGTCCAAATGAGATGATTAAGGTGTCCCTGAATAGCCTTTGAAGTCTAATTTCATTATTGAGTGGTTTCTGAGCAAGAAGAGTGAGTATTACCGACAATAATCGAGGTTGAGTGAACTGCTGCGTACAAACTCGAGCAGTGAGAGTGCTGGTGTTGTTTGGTTCATATCTCGAGTTATACTAATCCAAATCAGGAGTGTGAGGTACCTGCGGATAGATATCAAGATAAGAAATCCGTCAAGGTCTGATTTGAATCAAAAGGAGTAGTGGAAGGCTTCCAAATTATCCGAACAAAACACAAACGCGCAGGGACGGATTTACTTCTCTAAACTGAGTTTTAACATCCAAAACCTTTCTTTTCATTTTCCAAATGATATGAACGATTAGTGGAAATATTATACACTATTCCAAGTGTATAATATGTCCTTATAAGGTTATTTTATTGATGTAAAGGTTAGATACTAACCTAGAGCAAATCTTGGAAAAACTAGGAAACAAGTTCGTCAGAAAACACTCATTCTAGGGGTTGTTTTCGTATCAACGGTTAGGGGTTGAGCTAGCACTTTGAGGAGGTTGTTTAACAAACATTTTTAAGCAAGGAGTCAGTTCTTAATCCACATTGACCGAAGCTTTGACCATTGGATCAAGAAGGAAAAGTCTAAAGCTCAATTAAGGTGAGGATCGACATCTAATTGCTTACAACTTGTAGGTTAAGCATGAGATTACCTAAATGCCTAAATCATGATTTTTCATGGATTATGATGCTTAAATATTGATGAAATATTTATATAGTTGACAATGAATGAAATTGGAAATGATTTGAGGTTGTGTGGATAATATGAGATTAAATGAGTTATTAATGAACTATTTTGTGAAATAGGCATTTTACTCATGTATGAGTTATGTGGATACATAAAAGAATATTTATGTATTGAAATTGAATACTTAAGTTGCTGCTACATACTTATAAATATTAAGAGAATTACAAAATGAGGATGTTTGTATGATAACAATAATCTTAATAGTGTTGAAATACTAGTTAGTGATTATTGGAAATTGTTGATAGGATTGATCCTAAGGATTGGATTCTATGCAATGCACTTGAATATACTTCAAGTGTATAAAATGTCTTAATATGAAGCTAAGGTTAAATTATGGGCAGTCCTTAAGGATGACCCAAGGTAGTTTATTGATATGTCAATTCTAGGCATAGGTTTGCTTAGGAATTGGACTTTAGTACACGGTGATGTAATAGAGCCGAGCTATAGGATGCATGGTAAGGTGGTAGACTTGTAGTCTATGTATTGTATAACTAGAGCCGAGCTCTAGGGCTTGCACGGTGATGTAATAGAGCCGAGCTCTAGAATGCAAGGTGTAGTAATTGACCCAAATGACATGAATTGTATGGTGATGTGATAGAGCCGAGCTCTAGGATACAATGTCATGTACTAGGGTTGGACTCTATGAGTTGTCATGGCTTATAGTCACGGGGAATGGGAATGGTGATTTCAAAATGAACATGGGCCCACGGGCCGACTACTTGATTTTATATAAAGTAAGTATATTTTCAGACAGGGTAACTTGGGGTTACAACCATATTGTACTATCACCCTATTTGAGGGTCTTGTGTTTGAAATACTTGTTGTATATCTATTAGATGTCATCCACACCAGTACTTTATAGCCCTATAGAGTACTGACTCCTTCGGGGGCGTCCCACCACCATTTCAGGTTGAGGCTAGAGCTTGCTTGCTATGCTTGTTGCTCAAGTGATTTTCCGGAGAGAAGACTTGGTTCGTGCTTCATCCACAGGGCCGGCCATGGGGGCATTTTCCCTAGACACTTGTCTAGGGCCCCCAGATTGTAGGGGCCTCCAAAATCTAAAACATGTCGAGTAATTCTAAATATAAATTCTTAATGTAAATTTAGATTAAATTCAATTCTCAAACCGGCCAATGGCCGTGAAAACATCAATTGACGGGTAACCTTGATGGAGGAGATGCCAATTATGGTGAAAGCTTCAAGTATTCTTTTAGTCTCAATTAGCACTCGACAATAGAGGTGTAGAGGTGTTCTAATTCTTCTACGCTTCCGATTCTTATTTCTTATTTTCTTATTTCTTTACTTGGCCTGTTCTTTACTTGATTGGTGATTACTTTATGTATATACTTAGTACTTCTTTAGTTTTTTGTTTTTTTTTTTAAAAATAAAATATGTACTTAAGTTGCTTCTTTCAATTTGTAGTCGGCTAGTCAATAGTCACTAGTTTAGTAGTGTGTATTAAAAATTAAAAAATGTAGCCAATGTATACTTTAGAATATGTAAACTTTACAATTGATTATTTGATGGTAATAATTACTCTTGTGAATGAATAAAACTTGGAAATTTTTACATAGTTAGATATTTTATATATGTACATTAAGTTTTTATTTATGATTCATTTGCATGTTTATTATTATTTTATACGCAGTATAAAATTGTAGGCCATGTGATAAAAGAACAAAAACATGATTTAGAATATACAAAGAGAAAGCACACAAACTAAGAAAAGACTAGGACATAAAACTATTTGCCGACTATATAGATCGGTACGTAAATACAAAACTTTATCATTCAAATACTTTTTAGAATGAGGATAAAGTCACAACTCATAATAGTATAATACGGAGTAGTAGTGACGTTCTTACAAATTTTGCTCTTCAAAAAGTTAGAAAAATAGACTATTAGAATATCCATGTATTTTTAGTATTTTTTGGATCATTTGGTTATGAAGAAATATTTTTTTACATTAATAGTATATGGTGCATTTTTGCATGTAATATACATCTATTTAATTGATAATACATTTTTTTTATATTTATGTTTAATTAGGCATATTGAAATGAATTGTCTATTTGACTGTCTAGGGCCTCGTAATTTCTCTAGACGGCCCTGTTCATCCATTCTGTTTTAAAACATTAATAAACATGGTGATGGATATTTTACTTTGTGATGGGATAGAATGTAATAAGGACCATGATTAATACTATATAACAAGCTCTAAATCATTAAGCTTCATTACTTAATGGACAACTAACTAGCATATATATTTCAATTGCTCTTAGACAATCTTAGTCATTCAAAAGTTTATGTTAAATCCATATATACTCACCTTATAATTATGAACTACTCCGGGTAACAGATAAATTAAAATAATTATTTGAAATGTCAACAAGGGAAAATGAGAAATTGAATTGTGTGTTAAGGATGTTTTTACTTGGACTGTAAATTGTCCCAGACCAGACCAGGCCAGACCAGTTCAAACCAGACCAGACCAGGCTTGGATAGTTATAAAAATACAAAGAAATCAGTCCTTACCAGATCAGACCAGACCAGTTCAGACCAGACTAGATCAGCAAATTACAGTCCAACTAAAAACATTCTGTATCTTTTCTAGTCTTGCTGGCCAAACGGATCGCAAGAGAGTAAACTAGTTTCACAATCTCCTAAAAAAGGCCTAATTGGACAAATAGAATTAAAGGAATGATAACTTAAACGTTTCCGCTTCCAAAAACTTTACCCAAATAAAGGGAGGGGCTTTCCCTCATCTACTATATAAAAAGTTTAAAACTAAACATACCCTAAAGAAAGATTTTATTAGTTATTTTCATGTTCATGTTATTGTATTTTATAGAGTAGAAGGAGTTTGTTACGTGTGCATTGTAATAGTCATGCTTCTTTCTTTGGCTTTAATAGCCTAGCTAAGTAGGTTTTTTATTACTTATTTTAGTAATTTGACCAAAAATGAATGTTTTGTGAATGTATGGGGAACATTTATATTGAACAATGCATTTCTTTATATTTAGAGTAATGCACTTATTTGTATAATTATTTCAAATAATCAACACTTGTGCTAATGTTGAACTACGATAAAGCAATGTTCATATAAATGAAACTTATTAGTCTGCGTACATATAAATTCTTAATAACTCAACAACTTTTATCGGGAGGCTTCTGATGTTCTTCCCAAACAAGACATGAAATGTGAAGATCATATGGTAGCCTGACAATCCTCTACGAGTTCAAGAACCTCACCATCATGCATTTTGTGAAGCACTCGAAGATTTCTAAGCTCTGCATAAGTGATGGGCACATACAACCGTCGGGGATCAGATTGAAGAATCTCTGGTGGTGACTCTATTGCAGCATCTTTGGGACCCAAAAGGAATGAAGCAATTGATAGTCTCATTTTTGGTTCCTTGCACATCACCCTGTGCCTTACATTGCAAAATCTCCCATTGCTCCAAATCTTGTAACCATTCAAGCAAACAAAAGGCACAAAAGTGTTTAAAGATATCAAGATAGTATTACATTGAACCTTGACACATGAAAAACATTACTATATCTGGCATTACAAAAGGAACTATTTTTATTTTATTTTATTTTATTTTATTTAGGGTAGTTCGTTCGGGGTCTGTTTGATTTATTTATCTATCGTTATCAACTCCGTTTAATTCCATCATTTGCTATGGAGCCAAAGATTCACTATTCTTTCGCTTGAGAATATGATGGAATAAAGCAAAATGGCTCACTAACTGTCTGTGCTCCTTTGTTACGAAGCAGCTGCCAGTCCATGCAATTTTCGACGCTATTTTCACGTTGGGTCATCCTGAAACAGTCTCTTTGTGCTTTAGTACAAGGGTAAAGCTGCGTACATCCGACCCCCTTTACCCCACCATAGGTGGGAGCCTTTGCGACACTTTGGGATAATGATGATGATATCAATTAACTTCGTTTGGGTTGATGACACGTGTTCAAATATATGTCTTACATGATATTAGCATGATGATAAGACTTTATGTCGCTTCTTCTAATGAAGTTCTAGGTTTCCATATGATATCAAAGCCAATTATGTTCCAAATAACGATAAGCTCAGGTTAACTATGGGTAGCAGAAAAAGTAATATATATACTTACAGTAGCCATATCCCCGAAATTAAGCAGGAGGCTACCGGGCAAGGGATCAACCTCCACAATTTCTCCTGATCTCTTAATGACTTCTAGACCACCCACACTTTCATCATCTTGCAATATTGTAAGGAATCCAGAGTCTGTATGTACTAGCACTCCAGATGAGCCCACACTCTCATTGGTAAAGTGGTACTTGTTAATTCTAAACTGACAAGTCCATCCTTCAAAAAGTTCACCTTTCAAACCCAAAGCTTCCACTAGTTTTCGTCCAATCTCCATCATCAATTCATGCACGGCTTTGGCATATTTGACTATGGTCTCTCTAACAAGAACATCAAACTCAAAGATAGTTATACCACTATTTTTAAGAAACATATACATAGAACATATTTTGCATGTGTAACTTTTATGCAACTTAAATAATGTTAATTAAGCATATTTCTCTAAAATTAATCAATAATCATATAATTAATAATGTCACTTAAATTTTTATTTTTGTTTAAATGAAAATAGCTAAATCAGCATGCATGTGTGAAAATATTTTGACACACTATTTTTCAGACACAAACACTAAGTATAAAATACTACGTATATAGGAGATTTCATCCAAATTACTTCATTTTGAGAAAATAAAGTCAACTATTTAAGACTATGTTGACCTCATATTGCACATAAATTATATTGTACTAATAAATTAAAACTCCTATCTACTTCAAAATATTACTTCTCAACTTTGGAGAGTAAAAGCACATTAATGAATATATTGGTCACATGCCGCATATATAAGATTATAAATAGAAGAGTGTTATGGTATCTCACGAATAAGTGAGGGTACTCTCCCTTCTATGTATTTGATTAATCCAAATTATTATTTCATCATTTTTATAATTAAATCACTCAACTGTAGTTTTTTAATTGGTCCACATGAACGAGTTACAATATGGAACATTATTGAAACCATGCAAACACTTTAATTAGATGGATAAGAATATAAGAGCATCTCCAATGTTACCATGTGTACAGTGCACATGTGACATTAGAGATAGCCACAAAAATATTAACAAATAAACTATATCTCTCTTTATTTGAATAATTTTATACAATTTTGGTAAGTTTTTCTCCACAATGTCAAGAAGATCATCTAGATGTTGACATTGTGGTTGACATTGCTGAGAAAAACTTACCAAAATTGTATAAAATCATTTAAATAAGGAGATATATGATTTATTTATTACTTCGTAATATTTATGTGGCTATCTCTCATGCCACATGTGCACCGTACACATTGTAGCATTGGAGATGCTCTAAGCATACATCCAATTATGAAATATCTTAATCGATTAAAGATATAGTCAAGCTAACAATATAAATGACTGTCAAAATTTCAGATAAATGTATAATAAATATCTCAATTATAAGAAATTATGAACAATAATGAGTATCTGAGTAGAAAAAAATAGATCCAAAAAGAGAGAGAGAAACCTTTGTTGAGGAGAGGCATCCAAGTCATTACAAAAGGCTTCAACATCTTGGAGTGATGCCATATCATAGAGACCAAGAGCTTCATAAAGTGGATCTCTCTTAGTTGGGGCAGTATAACCACTGCCAGGAAGAACATGTTTGTTTCTCTTTTTTATCTCCTCTGGAAGATCAAACAGTGACTTCACCACTTGTTTCATATCCACCATGAGTGAAGGTGGCAGAATGTTGTGGTGGTTAACAAGCCTGAAGCAACCCCACTCCTCACATGCCTCTATCAGCTTCTTTGATTGTGCTGGGAAGTCATGCAAGTCTATTACTGGCACCATATTCTCATTGTTGTTGCTTCCTATTTGACCCATTTGACTCTTTCACTTTGTGGTGATAGTTGTTTTCTTTGCTGATTTTGTTGATTTTGAGAGCATGCACTTATTTATAATTGTAATTCATGATCTAAACATGGAATAACATTAAATATTTAATTTGAGAGAGCCTTTTCACTTGTTTTCGAAAAACTACACATGGAATCACATTAAATATTTGAGAGCCTCATCACTTGTTTTCTATTTTTGAAAATAGTCGCCTAAATGTGTTGTGGACATACTATGTTTGCTCATAAGCATAAAAGTTTCGAAATTTGAATCTTTGGATATGGATGGTGGATTTTTTCTAGAATATAAGAAAATACCTAAAAAGGTTTAAGAAACATACAAAAACACGGAAATATTTTCAAAAAATACCAAATTAAATAGTAAAAATGAATTGAAATGCATTCAATACAATCTATAAATAATACCTAATATATGACCAAAATAAAGATACGGATACAAATATGACTTCATAAATTTAGTGACTATAATTATGTTCAAATTTTCCATCAAAGTGACTATAAGAGTGGACATGCACTTTAGTCTCATTTTTGTCCACAAATTTTGTTTTGAATATGTTTTAGAAAAAACCTCATTAATCTAATTCTGCAAGAAATGTAAGGTGTAGTCATGTGTGTATTATTTTAGGGTAATTCCCCATACCTCTCATTAATCAATCTGTATGAATATATACAAGAAGTGTCGAACATACCTGAGCCCTCAGCCCAAAGGGAATATACAAAATAAATACAAAATAAATACAAATGGGCTAAGCCCGAAAGAAATGTGTCAGCGAGCTGATCAGTAGTAGAAACGTGTCGAGCAATAAGTAAACCAGCCTGAAAAGCATCACGAACGTAATGACCTGTTTACTTTGGACCTGTTTACTTTGGACTTAATGGTCTTAATGGAATTATGGACTTAATGGTCTTAATGGAATTATGGACTTAATGACTCAGCTATACAAGACTGTTTATTTAGGACTTATTTTTCAGCGGGACTTATTCGCTCAAACAAATTACGACTTAATCGCTCAGTTCCTATTAAACATCACTATATAGCTGAATCATTAAGTGACAGTTCCTATTAAGGCTATGTTTGGCATGGCATTTCAGCTCAAAATGAGCTGAAATTTCTGAAATTTAGTTCATTATTGTACAAATAAAATCGTTTGGATAGAGGGCTGAGCAAAGCTTTGGCTGAAATAAAGCATCTGAATCAAAACGCTATTATAAGAAACATTTCTATTCAGCCTTCCGCACAACAACTTGCAATCTCTAAATTATCACCAATTTCTTCTGGTCTAGTGTCTTCCGTGCAATTATAATCTCAGTCCACAACTCATATTCCTAATTGCGATAAAACATATCATTACCATATCTCATTTGATGGTTTCTACTTCAGTACTTCCCTGCGAATTTCTTCTTTTAAAGTGTGAATTTTTTAACCCAAGAGAAAAAGTAATCACATCACAAAATTAAACTCATTTGATGGAGTGTTTGGATACTCAGTATAAAATTTCTTGATGCTTTTATGACAAGAGGAATCCTCTTGTTTGTGGTATGATTTAATTCAATATTTTATTCTCATTTGATGATACTCATACTCCCTGCGGATTTGTATGTTCCCTTACATTTGCTTTTGGTACAATATTTTAGGATAGAATAGTAAGGGTAGTTAATAGTGTTGAAAAAGTAGAAGAGAGTGTGTAAAAGTATGAAAAAGAAGATAAAAAGTGGATAAAGTAAGGGAAATTTCCTGAAATGGGACAAAAAACTGTTAGTACCCAATTTTGATAGATTTTGATGATGCCACTATACTTTGCACTAGTACATTATTAAGTTCGAGTATTAATCTTCAATTTAATCATAAGTGACAAAATAAATGTACAATCTTTCAGATTAATGATATATTACCGAAAAAAATAAAAAATGCAATAAGGTAATTTTTATTTACCTTAATAGGATATTTGGATCCTACTGGCATATATCATTTTGCTCAAAGATTAATTAAATGTCACATTTTAAAGATGCTCGAATATCATATACATTGAATGTGTATGATTGGAAGACAAAACTAGACATGCGTTAAATGCTAAATCAAGTACATGGACCTACTGCCTGGACGCACACATAGGCATACCTATGTCGCGGCTCAATAATTCAAGATAAGGAAACCATCTCATTAAAAGCTCCGGCACAAGAAGACAAATGTACAACTTGTCCTTGCCAGATTTTCAACGCCAGAGATTAAATCATCCTAACCAACGGATGAGATTAATCCAAAGGAGAAGCCTATAAATGTAGGCTGAAACGAAAGTTTCTACTCAAGCTTTTGAGCATCCAAAGTAGAGAAAAACTCCCACTGAGCATATACGAGCTATCTAGCAAAAGAGAAAGTGCTAGCTTAACTTTACTCTCTGCTTTGACTCATGCTTCACTAAGCTCTCAGACTAGATCATGCTTTGTCATATTTTTAGAGCTTAGATTTTAGTTGGTGGTCAGAAATTTCTTGTAACATTTCACAGTGTTGTAAACACTTAGGAGAACAGTTGTTCCACTTGTTCGGATTCTAAAGTGTGGTTAGATAGATAGAGTACCCTTTGATCCCCACTGGATCAATTGAGAAAAGTCTAAAGGATTGAGTAACTTTGAGTGGTGCTATACTCATTGTGAAACACCTTCAATCTAGGCCTAAGTGTTGTAAAGGCTAGATTAGCACTAAATGTATTGGGCTTAATACTTTAGTGGAAATCTCTGAGATAGGGTGAGACTGGACGTAGGAGGATTACATCACCTCTGAACCAGGATATACTGTGTGTTGATTTACATTCAGTCAACAAAGCACACACACATCACATCTCACTAAAAGGATCGTAGTTTGCCAGCAACATCCTAAGCAGTAGTCTTGATTGACTCTACTGCTTATCTACTGCTTAATAACTCACTTTCCTTTGAGACAATCTTTCCACAAGAGCCTTACAATATCTCACTAAAAGGTCTGCTCTATCAGATTTCAGGAAATCATCATTTAAGTAAAGCAGTTGCCTCAGCAGTTCCCTGTTTCCACCCAACTGCTAAGCCCACTGCTCGTACACACTTATTTCCTTTGAACATCTTAACTTTACTAAAATCGCAGAACATCACTGCCAAGAAGCCTGTCCAAACTATTCTCTGAAAATCTGCATATAACTCAGCAGGTGCCTCAGCAGTTCCCCTGTGTCCACACAACTGCCAAGACCACTGCTTCAGTAAAACTCTCAGTCATATTCACTTCAGTACATCTTCGGAAAACCCTCATCATCCTCAGTAAGGCCACACAATTATCTTTCCCAAACTCCTATTTTCCACTAGCAGTTGCCTCAGCAGTTCCCTGCCATCCAGGCAACTGCCAAGCCAACTGCTCACTGTTTAAAGTCCAAATATCATTCAAGCTAGAAAGTTATCACACATTAATGAATCAAGAGGTTAAAGACTTCCGCTGTGCATCTGTAAATCTCCCAAAAGATTACAGATCAACTCATTTAGAAGGGAAAGTCTTTTAGATCGAAAAAGGCTTAAAAGTCTATTCACCCCCCCCCCCCCCCCCCCTCTAGACTTTTACCTCTATCGGGGACCATAAAAAACGTTTGTAAATTCCAAAATAGGACTGTCATGTTTTTATTCCCAAAATAGAAGTAATTACTGTCAAGTTTGGAAAATACTGCCATGTTTAAAGTCTGGTACTGCCAAAACATGACAGTAATTAGTCTCATTTTGGGAATTAAAAACATGGCAGTCCCATTTTAGAATTTACAAACGTTTTTAGTCCTATTTATAAAGGATAAACTTACCAAAAATAGAATTGTAGGGAACTTTTAAATACGGAGGGAGTAAGATTTAACAGTTTAAAAAAAATCAGCGGTGTGTGCCTAACTCGATTTTTAGATTATTGATGTGTGTGTATTCTACCATCATATTTATCAAAACATTATAGTAATTTATTTATTTTATTTAATCATACGTACATAGTACGTAGTATATTCTAATATTTATAAAAATACAAAATATCACTATAATAAATATGTTATTATATTAATAAATTGTATGTCCTTTAATGTAATTTCATATTATTCGGGCATCATTCCAGCTCTTTTTGCCAAATGGGTCTACTTCATTCAGCTAACAATTCAGATCCAGAATTTCAAAATTCAGCTCCAGACAATAGTCCTTCATTTAGACAATAGCCCGTAATTCAGACAATAGATTCCAGCTCCAGACCGTTTTGCCAAACATAGCGGGACATAGTTTTCCATCCCCGTTCTAAAGTTGGAGCATCGATATAAATTAGTTTTCCGTCCCCGTTCTAGAAGTTGGAGCATCGATATAAATTATTATTCAATGAAATTTCAGTTTCAAAAGATTTCAAACTCTTACTCCCTTGCGTCCATAAATGGGTTTTCGATGAGGTTCGTCATCTTTTTCACGCAGTCTGCTCAGGAGTTTTGTAGGTGAGTTTGCTCTTCTCCCCTCCAAGAGTTGATGTTTTTTATTATTATTTCCATCAATAGGTGAGTATACTCCTAAGATAGAAATTAAATTAACACATGTCAGGTGTTTGATAATGTGTGTAAAAGGTAGGGAAAGAGGGAAATGCTGCTGAAATTGTACTTATGCGATGCTTTGTTCTACCTTTGATGATAGAAATATATATTAAGTTTGATCTATTTTTTAAAAGTCTAATATATAGTTTGATTACTTAGTCTTTTTTTCTTCAATTAAGATCACAAATAACCATTCATTAAACCCAAGTAATTGATCTCAATAATTACTTATGTAATCATTAAGTACAGATTTATAAATTTATACATGAAGAGGAAGAGTAGTTTAAGAAATTGTAAATTTTGCTAAAATATAGCTCAGGTGGAGCAAATGAGAGTGAGAAATTGCTGGAGTAAATTGGAGAATATGTTTCTATCATTGTACGTTGTGGCTAGAGAGCAACAACGTACCATGAGTTTGTTATATGTGTGGTGAATGCCTAGAATCGGAGATGCACCCTCACCCCATTGGATATGTTTTTTGCAGGAGCATGATGGCCTTCTAG